TCATAAATATGCTATTAAGCATTTGAGATCATGGAGGAAAATCATGGGTAGGTTATGGAGGTGTGGAAGTTACAACAATAATGATGAGAAGTAGTGGAGGTTATCTACATAATGGAGAAGAGTAGTGGGAGTTATATTTGATTAGTGGACATCCATATAAATATATATTTCATAACAAAAATAAAATAATTGGGAAATTTGGATCAACAGACGCCGACAATGAATCAAAAGGCTGCTGGTTGGCTGACTAGCTAGCTAGTTAGTGTAAAGTCAAGTAAGGCAACTGGGAAATGATTAGTTGTTTAAATTATATTTACAAATTAAAATATTAATTAGAGAATATATTGGCTCACCACTATATATATATATATATATATATATATATACTTCTCCCTTCTCTTCAACAATTCAGAGTTCCTTTCCTTCTTCCTTAAAACGTACAAAAACAATACCCTCATCTTTTATTAGCAATGGCCTCAGCAGCAGTAGCCAACTATGAAGAAGAGATTGTTCGTCCCGTTGCCGACTTCTCCCCTAGTCTTTGGGGTGATCAGTTCCTTTCATTCTCCATTGACAATCAGGTAAATAATTAACTTCTTTATATAGTTTTTTCTTGCAAGCATGGTTAGTTTTGCTAATAATTCAGCTTTCTTTCTTTCAACTTTCAAATAGATTGCGGAAAAGTATGCTCAAGAGATTGAAGCACTGAAGGAACAAACGAGGAGTATGCTGTTAGCAACCGGAAGGAAATTGGCCGATACATTGAATTTGATTGACATTATTGAACGCTTTGGCATAGCTTACCACTTTGAGAAAGAAATTGATGCGATTTTGGATCAGATTTACAACCAAAACTCAACATTTGATGATTTCTGCACTTCTGCACTCCAATTTCGATTACTCAGGCAACATGGTTTCAACATCTCTCCTCGTAAGTTCACCATGAACCACATCTTTAATTTAAAGTTGTTAAAATTATTATCCATTTGCAGGAAGGTTAATATTGTGTATTCTTCCTTGAAAACCAGAAATTTTCAGCAAATTCCAAGATGAAAATGGCAAATTCAAGGAGTCTCTAGCTAGTGATGTCTTAGGATTATTGAACTTGTATGAAGCTTCACATGTAAGGACCCATTTTGACGACATCTTTGAAGACGCACTTGCTTTCTCCACTTTCCATCTTGAATCTGCAGCTCCATATATGAAATCTCCACTTAGGGAGCAAGTGACACATGCCCTTCAGCAATGTTTGCACAAGGGCGTTCCTAGAGTCGAGACCCGATAACTACTGAAAAATTGGTCTACGGTAACGGTTGACAAACCGTTCCCACAGACTGCCAAACCGTTGCCATAGGGATTTTGGAACGGTTTATAGACCGTCATTTCAGCCGCCGTACCCATAGGTCTATTGGAACGGTTCTTGCAACGGTTTGCATCGCCATGACAATAGATACGTCTATCGCAACGGTTTTCCCTTTCTCTATTGGAACGGTTATTTTTTTCAATTGTTACGGTTTTAAACTGTTACTATATTGTTTATACAACGGTTTTTAACCGTTGCCATATTATGTAAAGCAACACTTATGTAAGCTATTGCTGCGATTATGTTGGATATAGCNGCACCAGATGTGTTTTACATTCAAAATTTGAAGAAGAAACCCACAGAAACTTTCCGCGAGTATGCCACTCGTTGGAGATCAGAGGCTGCCAAGGTTCGACCTGCTTTAGGGGAAGAACAGATGAACAAGTTTTTCGTCCGGGCTCAGGATCCGCAATACTATGAAAGACTGATGCTGATGAGAACCATAAATTTTCTGACATCATCAGGCTGGGAGAAAGGATTGAAGAAGGCATCAAAAGTGGTATGGTCACTAACTTTGAAGATTTGCAAGCCACCAACAAGGCTCTGCAGTCCGGTGGTACATCCAAGAGGAGGGACATAAGTGTCGTAATGCTTGCACAGAGAACCAAATCACCAGTCAAATACCAAACCTACCCGATATCTCCACTTACATATCAACCCACTCCAAATTTCCAGACACCCGCACCTTTCTACCAAACTCCACCACCTACCTATCAATCACCTCCACCTCCCACATACCAACCTACTTCACCCAGATATTCCCAACCCGCACAAGTCTACCAAGCCTACACCACTCAACCATCCCAATACCAATCACCTCCCACTCGCCAAAACATTCCTAGACCCTGACCAAATTTTGACCGTAGACCTCCCAAACAATACACCGCCATTGCTGAGCCAATCGACCAGCTGTATAAAAGACTCAAAGCTGCTGGTTATGTCACCCCTATCCCTGCTATAGCCCCTAAAAACCCTTCCCAATGGATTAACCCAAACAAAACCTGTGCATACCATTCTGGCATGAAGGGACATATTATTGATGAATGCCGCTCCCTGACACTACTGAAAAATTGGTCTATGGTAACGGTTGAAAAACCATTCCCACAGACTGCCAAACCGTTGCCGTAGGGATTTTGGAACGGTTTATAGACCATCACATCAGCCGGCGTACCCATAGGTCTATTGGAACGGTTCTTGCAACGGTTTGCATCGGCGTGACAATAGATACGTCTATCACAACGGTTTTCCCTTTCTCTATTGGAACGGTTATTTTTTTCAATTGTTACGGTTTTAAAGCGTTACTATATTGTTTATACAACGGTTCTTAACCGTTGCGATATTATGTAAAGCAACACTTATGTAAGCTATTGCTATGGTTATGTTGGATATAGCAACGGTTTCTTTAAGCTATCGTAACAGTTACATTTGTATTTGGAACGGTTTGTAGATCATTTTGGAACGGTTTATGGGACCTATTGCAACGGTTTACATTGCCTACTAGAACGCCATTTGTGTCCTATTGCAACGGTTCTGGTAGGCTATTGTATCAGTTCAGTTAAAACCAAAATATAGCACCTGTTATAAATAAAGATTTATACATATAATAAATTACAATCACTAAAATTTAAATACATCATAGAATGAAACTATTAATAATACAAAATTATCCATCAAACAAATAATATTTATAAAGCAAATGTTCTACCCAATGAGTGCATAAGTTTAGTATATTTCAAGAGTGTAAATAAGTTTCGAAAAATATTGGTAACAAAAGATTCCTAGAACATTCATCTATAACAATTCAAAATCCATCTCAAGTAAGGTCTAGTTCTTCATCGTCTTCATCATCCATTTTTTGATCTACTCCACCTACAAAAGATTATTAATAAAGTTATTACCCTTCAAGAGAAACCGGTCTAAGAATACTCAAGCAGTTAACTGTTTTCGTTCTTCTTTATTAATGCAACTTCTTTTTACTCGTAGAATTTGTTGGTGTTTTGCTTGACTATTTGACCAAGAAGATGTTGCAATAATCTGTTTCAAGCCTAAAAAAGTATCTGCATCAAGTATTTAAGTTTCACTAGTTAGTAGTTTTAAATCATGGTGGTCATATTTAGTGTTATAGTTGAAATCAGTATATGACTCTAAAGTTTAATTCAGATGCTTTATGTTAAAACAAGACAAGAGATTCTAGATGTAATTACCTTGTGAGGCAGTACTACAACAGTGACTAAAAAGAGGTCAAATTATTATTCAGCCCAAGTAAACCCAGTAATACATACTGCTAAGACCTAGTGCTAAGGCCAGTAATACATATATATGCTAGTTTACATGGTGTGTTGTTATTTGAATGTACAACCTTTATCATGCAGGGACCAAGTGAAGGTTAGAATAGCAATATCACAAGAAATTATTGAACATAAAGCTGAGTTTGATTGATATAATAATGGAAAGAATACAAAAAGAACTCCTAAGAAATGAAAAAGATAGAAAAAAGGGATCCAAAATGTGACTACAGAGATATGTCAGGGTTCAAACCTGTGAGGTGCGCCTAACCCACACATCATGAGTTTTGCTCTCAATGTATTCTGGCGTTTGTATGTCGGAAGCTGTCAAAGGCATAAGAAAAAGGACAGATTGCAGTATGTTTGACAGAAAGAGTTCCTATTGTTGAAAGCTAATTTAATTTTCCATTTGACTATATGAGTTGGATTTGGTGCATTCGATACCTCAAAGTTAATGTAGAATAATTAAAGATATTGTACCTTGAGAGTGTTGTACCAAGTAGAAGCTGAAGGAAGCGGATCAATATCCTGTCCCCCGTATGTCGGAAGCATATCTGCATGACACATAATGTGGCCCAGATCAAGTGAAGCATTTGTTTCCGTTTTTAATTTGCTTACATCATAAAATTAGGTTTCTTTTTAGGAAGGGGCTTCTCTGATTAGTTTTAGTTTGTTTTTATTAGAGGGGAAAATGTACAAGAGTTTTCTCTGCATCACATTCCTCAGATCATTGAAGCAAACTGAGAAGCATAGAAATGATAGATAGTATCCATCGGAAAAAGTACAGTCATTTACTGGCATTTCTCCGTTCTCACGGTCTACTGTCTACAATTCAACCAAAATCAAGAGTGCCTCCTTTCAGCTTCCATAAAACACAAGTTACTGATTGTATCTCAAATCCACCACACATCTGACGATGCACTCTGAAGTTGTGATCCTTATCGGCCAGTGGCTCACAGGAGGAAGTTCATATCCCATCACTAACACGTTAGCTTAAACTCTATTAGGAGACTTAGGTCATGTTCACTAACACAACAGGAATTTGTTACAAGATATAAAACAAAATCATCTTTCCTGCATTTTCCATCCAAATGAAGCAGGGAGCCAGTTAACCAATAATTTCACACCAGTTCACCTGCCAATAGATACTTTCCTTGCCCTCCTATTTTCGAGTTCTTTCGCTAGTTCAACTTTCAATACTTTTTGCCCCTTATTATACTTTCACCATCATTAGTTGACCATTTTGAATTAGCATTGCCTATAATACAATTCTCAGGCTTAAACTCATTATCTGTTTTTGATCTTCAAGGGTGCTGGTGATTTGATTTTTTTTTTGGGGGGTGGGGTGGGGTAGGAGGGAGGCTCATACCTTGTGAATAGTGAAGGTTGGCTGCAGATGTTTGAATCCAAGCAAAGGAGCTCGCGAACAACTTGTCACAAACTTAAGCAGCAAACACTGTTCTCTTGGTTCAAAATTCGAAAATACCTAAACCACAAGAACAATTAGTTATAAAATGCCTAATTGTCTTTAATAATTTATTCTCCTACTTTAACACTACCAAACACATACATATGGTTAGATAATACGAAATTATAAAAGATCTCTGCTTAGACCAAGTTCCTTAATGTTGAGAGATGTTCATTTGAGATGGTTCAAGTAGACTGATGGAAATCACATTTGTAGTTTCATAAGATAACAAGAAAGAAGAGGAGGAGAGAGAAAATTCAACTGATCGAAATCGCGTTTGTAGTTTCATAAAATAACAAGAAAAAAGAGAGGGAAAATTCATGTCTACCTCCCAAAAGAGTTTTAACTGTCCGACTCCCTTCTGAGTAAACTCCAGTATAGCGTGTGTTTTTCCTTAAATCATCAATGTCAATATCATGGTTTCCTCCTGAAAGCAACTGGATATACACTTTGGATTAGCTGATACAGAAGCATGCAGTCCAGCAAAGGAAAGCCTTTGTGGCACATGCGGCTTTCAACAAAGCATATGCATTTAACGTAGTTTGTTTATGCCTTTCATTCTTGTAACGACCCGAGCCGTCGTTACGGGAGTTACCGCCCCGTTTTCCCCATTTTATGCTTCTATATGTTTCATTATATGTGTTTGGAGTTTGAAGTAATTCGGATAGAGTTCGGTTAGAAATGAGACAATAAGTCTCTTTATGAGAAGGATTGTTTGGAAAAGTCAACTGAATGTTGACTTATGAGTTAGAAGGCTCGGAATGGATTTCTGATGATTCGACTAGTTTCGGGAGATGATTTGTGACTTAGGAGCGCAATCGGAATTGAATTTGGAGGTCCGGTGTAGAATCAAGCTTGAATTGGCTAAGGTTGGATTTTTGCGAATTTTGGATGGTAGGTGAGATTTTGATCCGAGGATCGGAATGGAATTCCGAGAGTTGCAGTAGCTCTGTTAGGTGATCTTGGATATGCGTGCAAAGTTTCAGATCATTCGGAGGTGTTTAGGTCGGGTTTTAGATCAAATGCAAGTTTCGGAAGTATTAGTTTAACTTAGGCTTGAATCCGTGGTAATTCGATGATTTTGGTGTTTATGATAGTGTTTTTATGTTACGAGCAGGTTTGAATGAAGTAATAGAACATATCTGTGCATTTGGTTGAGGTCCCGAGGGCCTTGGGGTGAATTCGGGTGGTTAAACGAGAGTTTTGAGGTGTATTGCAGGTCAGATTTTGCTGTCATCTGGTGTCTCCGCTTCTGCGGAAATGGACCGCAGATGCGGTACCACAGAAGCGGGTTCGTGGTCGCAGAAGCGGTCGTTGGCCGGCTAGGTAAATTCCGCAGAAGCGGAAGGTGGCTCGCACCAGCGGGTCCGCATAAGCGGACACTGTACCGCAGAAGCGGTTTTGAGGGAACCGCAGAAGCGGACTTCGCGTCGCATAAGCGAAGTTCGGGTTTCTAAGTGAAGATCGCAAAAGCGAAAATGTGGCCGCAGAAGCGGTCCCGCATAAGCGAAAGCGGGACCGCAGAAGCGAAAACTGGTCTGGGCGACAGAAGGGTTTTAAAATAATATTTCATCCGCGACCCTTTCATATTTTTCCTCCATTGTTGACGTTCTTAAGAGCTTTGAACAAGGAAATTCGAGGGTTTTGACTGAGAATCACTTGGAGGTAAGTTCCTTGGCCTAAATATTCGAATCTATGGTAGAAATCCATGTAAGTTGTAGAAATTTCATCAAAAACGGGTCAAGCTAGGGCTTGGAAAGCTGTGATGTAAAAATGGAATTTGGAGGGTCAAACGAGCTCCGATTTTGGTAAACTTTATATGCACGGACTCGTGAAGAGACGAGGAATCCGTTGGTGTGATTTTCGGAATTTTTCGAGAAGTAGGCCCGGGGCTCGGGTTTTACCAACTTCGTGAATTTTAGTACTTTTCGAGTATTTTTGATTGGGTTATGTTTCTTTAACCCATATTTATGTATTCGTTGTGATTTTGACTAGATTAGACGCGCGAGGAGGTCGATACGAAAGTAAAAGGCATTGCGGACCATTCTACCGCCGGATAGAGGTGAGTAGTTGGTGTATATGATGGCCTGAGGGTTTGAAACCCCGGCTTATCACATTGTGACGCTATTGTAGGGCGTGACTCGCACCCCATGGCAGGTGCGGGATTGGTTATGACTAGGGATTGAGACTTAGTCCATCCCGAACAAGAATATTTCTATATTGGCGACTGATACGCACCCTGTATTGTATATATCTGGGCTTATTGCCGTGTTTGGGGCCTTGTGCCGATCTGTAGCATCCTTAGAGGTTGAATGTCATTGTGATAGCATGCTTTGTATAATCATTGATCTCAGTCCTGTGTTTAATCACTGTTATAAAATGCTAAGTCACTTTTCCGGAAGTTAAATATCTAAAGTATATTCTTCTTAATAAATTGGAAATTGGGAAAATTAATTGAATCTGTTACGTGACTCATATGCATATTGTGGACTGAGTATGGATCGGGCTGCACGCCGCAGCGAATGGTATGATTATATTGCGCTTGGGCTGAAGAGCCCCTCGGAGTCTGTACANGCCGCCGTACCCATAGGTCTATTGGAACGGTTCTTGCAACGGTTTGCATCGCCATGACAATAGATACGTCTATCGCAACGGTTTTCCCTTTCTCTATTGGAACGGTTATTTTTTTCAATTGTTACGGTTTTAAACTGTTACTATATTGTTTATACAACGGTTTTTAACCGTTGCCATATTATGTAAAGCAACACTTATGTAAGCTATTGCTGCGATTATGTTGGATATAGCAACGGTTTCTTTAAGCTATCCTAACGGTTACATTTGTATTTGGAACGGTTTGTGGATCATTTTGGAACGGTTTATGGGACCTATTGCAACGGTTTACATTGCCTACTAGAACGCCATTTGTGTCCTATTGCAACGGTTCTGGTAGGCTATTGAATCAGTTCAGTTAAAACCAAAATATAGCACCTGTTATAAATAAATATTTATACATATAATAAATTATAATAACACTAAAATTTAAATACATCATAGAATGAAACTATTAATAATACAAAATTATCCATCAAACAAATAATATCTATAAAGCAAATGTTCTACCCAATGAGTGCATAAGTTTAGTACATTTCAAGAGTGTAAATAAGTTTCGAAAAATATTGGTAACAAAAGATTCCTAGAACATTCATCTATAACAATTCAAAATCCATCTCAAGTAAGGTCTAGTTCTTGATCGTCTTCATCATCCATTTCTTGATCTACTCCAACTATAAAAGAGTATAAATAAAGTTATTACCCTTCAAGAGAAACCGGTCTAAGGCAGTTAACTGTTTTCGTTCTTCTTTTATTAATCCAACTTCTTTTTACTCGTAGAATTTGTTGGTGTTTTGCTTGACTATTTGACCAAGAAGATGTTGTAATAATCTGTTTCAAGCCTAAAAAAGTGTCTGCATCAAGTATTTAAGTTTCACTAGTTAGTAGTTTTAAATCATGGTGGTCATATTTAGTGTTATAGTTGAAATCAGTATATGACTGTAAAGTTTAATTCAGATGCTTTATACTCTGTATCTTACAACCTTTGATCCAATCTGCAATAGGAGGATAATCCCTCTTGCAACAGCTTTTTAAGCTTTTCAAATGGTTTGTGTGTATGCAAAGATCCATGTGCCTGATGTAGTGTTACCTTTAATAGCTTTCAATGACAGATACACATCAAACGCATATAACCAAAAGAATCAACTAAGGTAAAAACTAGGGCATGCACTTGTGCATTGACATGTTGAAGCTTTAAGAAATAGTACCAAACAAAAGATTTTTCCAATTGCACAATAGGTTTACAATAGGTTTACAATACCTTCCTGTCACAACTTATTCACTTATTTGTGCTAGTCAATTAGGATTCAATGCACTCCTTTCCTTCTTAAATAATCAAAAATTCACCGCTTATATTGTCAACTCATTAGTAATTCTCACTATTTCCTCTTCTCTCCTAGTACTACTAAACGACGATTCTGAAGATCAGTCCAATAAAAAGTCTAGAAAAAATACATAATAGGATTTTTATCCACTGTTGCTGCATCTGCTGGTTATGCATTGATGCGCTCTACTAAAAGGACTTTTATCCGATGAACTCTTGGCAAGCTTTTTCAGTTGGTTCTATAGGGCTGATTTTCAAAGTGTCTTCATTATTCTCAAATGTGATTAGCATTTTAGGTTTGCCAATTATTCCTGTTTTGGCTGTGATATCTCTTAATGACAAGTTGACTGGTGTTAAAGTGATGTCAATATTGTTGGCTATATGGGGTTTTGTATCATATATTTATCAGCATTATCTTGATGATTTAAAGGACAAGGCTGCAAAAAATGTTCAAGTTGTGGAGCTTTCTGAAGTTTCTCACATTAAAAGAAGTTAAACTTGTAATTTAATTAAATATGACATTTTCAGAACTAGATGGATGATTTTCCCAGAAGCAAAAGACATTCCTTTCCCGTCGCTAAAACTAGAAAATTTACTGCTATTGATGCAACAAGTAAAATTACAAAATATTAAGTTTTCATAAGAGAGACAAATATAAAGCTGACAACTACTACATATAACAAGCCTAATCTAACATATCCTTAGCAAATATACCAACAGTTAAGGCAAACTGAATTTTGTGCTATACCAACAGTTAGACGCAATGTAAGAATCTCCTAGTTAACTTGGATGCTACACCATATTATGTAATTAGTAACTGAGACCTTCATGTTCGTTACTATTTTACTTCTAATTCTTTTGACTCAGGCACCAAAAAGCAATAGTGATTATGCTAGTTTACATGGTGTGTTGTTATTACCTTGTGAGGCAGTACTACAACAGTGATTAAAAAGAGGTCAAATTGTTATTCAGCCCAAGTAAACCCAGTAATACATACTGCTAAGACCAAGTGGTAAGACCAGTAATACATATATATGCTAGTTTACATGGTGTGTTGTTATTTGAATGTACAACCTTTTTTCATGCAGGGACCAAGTAAAGGTTAGAATAGCAATATCACAAGAAATTATTGAACATAAAGCTGAGTTTGATTGATATAATAATGTAAAGAATACAAAAAGAACTCCTATGAAATGAAAAAGATAGAAAAAAGGGATCCAAAATGTGACTACAGAGATATGTCAGGGTTCAAACCTGTGAGGTGCGCCTAACCCACACATCATGAGTTTTGCTCTCAATGTATTCTGGCGTTTGTATGTCGGAAGCTGTCAAAGGCATAAGAAAAAGGACAGATTGCAGTATGTTTGACAGAAAGAGTTCCTATTGTTGAAAGCTAATTTGATTTTCCATTTGACTATATGAGTTGGATTTGGTGCATTCGATACCTCAAAGTTAATGTAGAATAATTAAAGATATTATACCTTGAGAGTGTTGTACCAAGTAGAAGCTGAAGGAAGCCGATCAACATCCTGTCCCCCGTATGTCGGAAGCATGTCTGCATGACACATAATGTGGCCCAGATCAAGTGAAGCATTTGTTTCGTTTTTAATTTGCTTACGTCATAAAATTAGGTTTCTTTTTAGGAAGGGCCTTCTCTGATTAGTTTTAGTTTTTTTTTATTAGAGGGGAAAATGTACAAGAGTTTTCTCTGCATCACATCCCTCAGATCATTGAAGCAAACTGAGAAGCATAGAAACGATAGATAGTATCCATCGGAAAAAGTATAGTCATTTACTGGCATTTCTCCGTTCTCACGGTCTACTGTCTACAATTCAACCAAAATCAAGAGTGCCTCCTTTCAGCTTCCATAAAGCACAAGTTACTGATTGTATCTCAAATCCACCACACATCTGACGATGCACTCTGAAGTTGTGATCCTTATCGGCCAGTGGCTCACAGGAGGAAGTTCATATCCCATCACTAACACGTTAGCTTAAACTCTATTAGGAGACTTAGGTCCTGTTCACTAACACAGCAGGAATTTGTTACAAGATATAAAACAAAAATCATCTTTCCTGCATTTTCCATCCAAATGAAGCAGGGAGCCAGTTAACCAATAATTTCACACCAGTTCACCTGCCAATAGATACTTTCCTTGCCATCATATTTCCGAGTTCTTTCGCTAGTTCAACTTTCAGCACTTTTTGCCCCTTGTTATACTTTCACCATCATTAGTTGACCATTTTGAATTAGCATTGCCTATAATACAATTCTCAGCTTTAAACTCATTATCTGTTTTTTATCTTCATGGGTGGTGGTGATTTGTTTTTTTTTTTTGGGGGGTGGGGGTTGGGGTGGGAGGGAGGCTCATACCTTGTGAACAGTGAAGGTTGGCTGCAGATGTTTGAATCCAAGCAAAGGAGCTCGCAAACAACTTGTCACAAACTTAAGCAGCAAACACCGTTCTCTTGGTTCAAAATTCGAAAATACCTAAACCACAAGAACAATTAGTTATAAAATGCCTAATTGTCTTTAATAATTTATTCTCCTACTTTAACACTAGCAAACACATACATATGGTTAGATAATACGAAATTATAAAAGATCTCTGCTTAGACCAAGTTCCTTAATGTTGAGAGATATTCATTTGAGATGGTTCAAGTAGACTAATGGAAATCACATTTGTAGTTTCATAAGATAACAAGAAAGAAGAGGAGGAGAGAGAAAATTCAACTGATCGAAATCGCGTTTGTAGTTTCATAAAATAACAAGAAAAAAGAGAGGGAAAATTCATGTCTACCTCCCAAAAGAGTTTTAACTGTCCGACTCCCTTCTGAGTAACCTCCAGTATAGCGTGTGTTTTTCCTTAAATCATCAATGCCAATATCATGGTTTCCTCCTGAAAGCAACTGGATATACACTTTGTATTAGCTGATATGGAAGCATGCAGTCCAGCAAAGGAAAGCCTTTGAGGCACATGCGGCTTTCAACAAAGCATATGCATTCAACGTAGTTTGTTTATGCCTTTCATTCTATTGTCTCTATGTCATGTCACATGACTTCCTCAATCATTAGAGAAATGTAGAGAACCAGTAAGATAAAGAAAAAGAAAAAACAAAAATAGCAGAGGTGTGGCTGATGCATTTGGCATTTGCAAGCATGACAAACCAATCCTCGTTAAATGGATGAGCCCAAAACTAGTATTGAAAGATCAAGGAGAGGTCAGTTGATAGTAGAATCACATACAGCATGAGGAATACAATAAAATTCTTTGAATATTTTTTTGATAATCGAGAAAAGTGGCGGGAAACAGCCTCTTTACCCCTCCGGGGTAGGGGTAAGTTCTGCGCACATTCTACCCTCCCCAGACAACCAGTACTTTAGAAGTGAAGCTTTATTTAGTCTAGTCAATTCACTCACACATTTAGAGGACACGCACCAGGCTGCATTTCTCATTGATTCACCTAATGCGGGCATTAGTTTAATTTCAAATGCCAAGTTGTACTCAGTCTCCATACATCTCAACTTTAGTGAAAGAGGAGAGCCAAGGAGTGCAGCGAGAGGTGGAGCTCCTCAGAAAGTATTACCAATTGAGGCTCTGGTTAACTGGCAACTTTGGTCAGAAAGCTTTGGTTGGAGAAGGATCTTATGGCTGCGTGTTTTGTGCTAAATTGAGCAATGGCCAGCAAGCAGCAATCAAAAACTTGGATACTAGTTCTTCACCAGAACCAGATTCTGACTTTGCAGCCCAGGTGAATGAATGCATTTTTTCCATTTTTGATCATTTAGCCTTTTAGAAAAGAACACGCATAATTGAAATGGTTAAGTTATTTCAGTTATCAATGGTTTCAAGACTTAAACATGAGCATTTCATGACTCTTATGGGCTA